TTAAAAATCTAAATATGATTTTTCAATTTTGTTTAAATAAAAATTGATTTAAACACTGTACTCAGTTTAGTTTTTCACACATGGAAAATCGTATTGAATCTGCAACATACTTCAAATCGGCGTATTTGTAATGATCCCGCGGCAGGCGGAAGTGGTTGTTGATTGTGACTAATCAGGCTCATTAATCTGGCTGGAGCGCAGCGTCTGACGTGGAGTCCAAGCAGTTAGACGTTGCACCGGGAACCCATGCGCCACTGAGATCGATCGGTTTCTATATTTTAAACCGATCCGAGAATTAATCGCGTTATCTCTCCTCTCACTTTCCTCCTATGCCTTTTTTGAGGGGGTTAAACGACGTGGTTAATGTCTCGTCCTGGCGTATTTAGAGAAGATTTAGCGTCGCGATGAAAGTATGCAGATAGTAATTAACTTGAGAAAGATTGAGAATTTTTTATGCATAAATTCTTGAAGGCATTTTATATTCGATATAAAAAAGGACAATTCTTTAAGAAATCTAGTTGCTGTTTTATAGACAGTTTTGTCACACCGTTGTGCCATCAATCATCAGTCTAAACTAAACTGTTTCAGTGCTCCTTCACCGTTTCATCGAACTCGCAAAAAATTGCTTAATCGCCAGCATCGGTCAATACCGAGTTCTAATTAAAAAGCGTCGATCGCGTATCGAGATATTGACGGTTATCACCTGGTGCGCTCTCATCTCAAGAGGCGATGGTCGTTAAGGATTTCGATGGCTTCCGAGCGGTGCGTGGAGTGTAAATTATTCCCGGATCGCGATTAGAGACCGGCCAGCCAGCCAACCACCTGCCGGATTCACGCACCGAGACTGCCAGGTATTAATAATCCGTGGATTTATGGGATCCTCGATCGCTTCGTTACGGGAAGACGCCTTCATTGTCGATCCAGGGATATCGCTCCCATTATTTTAATACCGTCAAACCATATCGATATTAAACGGTTGTCCCGCCACGGTCCTCGATCCCAATCTCCTCGGGTTCATCTTCTATGTTTGCGTCATTTCAATCCACTTTAATTCGAAAAGAATGTTCATTCCTTTATAATATGAATTTTCTTTCTAATTTGTAAGATATAAAGCGTGTTAATTTAATTTAAGAATTATCTTAGATTTATCAATTGTATTTATTAAAATTCACTGATGAAGTTAATTCTTTAGGATACCCGGATCTCTTAAATCTCTTATTATGTGAAACGAATTAAGCTCGTTTAATTGAGCAGAATCTTTTTTAATAACTCGCGCACTCTCACCGATGATATCGCATTAATTCAGGAAATGATAGTCGCTTTGCACGTTAAGAACCGCGTTCCGCTTATCGTGCCACACTTCCATACGAATTCGAGAAACGGCAATGGGAACAGATTACCCGGTGAATAGTTTAAACAATAGACAAAAAGGAAATCGCTGCCTGATTCAATCTGCAATTAGCGTAACCCGTTGACCACATCAGGCGTGCAGCTTTTACGAATCGCAACCATTTCTATTTGTATTCCGCGAGATCTCCGACCATTAAACAGTATCCATATTTATGACGTTGCTAAGTAATTACCGGGAAGAGTTATCTCTTTAACGCCGAGGAAGTTTCTTACCTCCTTCTCCACTCTGTTTCTTCTTCTTTTTTTTTATACAATTTTTATACCCGAAAGGGACTGCCTCCGCTAATTAAGAAATCGCGCTTCAACGTCCCATTAAATCGCGAAATTGCCGACTTCGTGGAGAAGCCCGCGCCCCGGCTCGAACTTCGCCGAGGAACAAATTACGCATGCTCCGGGGAAACCTTGAATCTCGACTCGAATATTATTCAAGAGAGCAACAAAACTTTCTGCATCGCTTAATCAATGCACGACTTTCAAACGTCTTCTTGTAAAAGATACTCTGATAAAGTAAAAATGCATTTTTATTTGATTTCTGAAACTTGGCAAGTGACGATAAGAAATCTGATCCTGATTTTATTAGAAAGAACTGGGGACAAGTATGAGCGGACGATGTTAACCGAAACGTAATGGCAATTACAGAGTCGGTGGATGAAAGAGAACAAGTTAAAACGACCATGTTCGTCATGCGACGTTAATAGCAACAGGTTTAATGAATAAAAGATATAATAGTTACCGGGAAGGCCAAAGGACAAGTGACTGGAACCGAGGAAAGGAGATCCTTGATTTCCCCTTCGTTACTGCAAAAGATTCCACGGTCCGAAAGATCGTAACGAAATTTTCAATCAGATTTTGAATAATAAAATTCATCTTCGAAAATAATGAATTCGAAATTTTAATAACGAGTCTTTGCACAGGCGTGAAACGAATGAGCGCGTATTAATTCTGGCGTATACGAAGCCTTCAACGCCAGGCGTCCCTTTTCTGAACGGACACACTTTCTTTGACTGCGTACAAATTGTTCGTGAACGATAATAACAACGCACGCAATCCGCGTGTCTATGATTTATGCGCCAGTCATTGTTCGCCACGCGATGCCGCGACGACACCAGCTGAGTCAAGACTATCACTATCATTCTCCTCCGGCTCTGCAATTTTAACAGCCCTTCAACGAGTCTTCACAATTTCCACAAACTTTACATATTATTATCGAGAATCTATCTGTCAAGTAATTCAACCAGCACTGAAAACGAAGTCTAATTTTCTTATATTTATTTTATATTATTTTTGTCTGTCTACGATTTTACCCAACAGCACTTGGACGATTTTCATAAAATCATATCACGATTAAAAATTGTTTGGTACCGATGAATTACGACGTCTGATTATAGTACTTTCCCCTTTCCCACGCTATCAACTTTAAAATCTTGATCAATTAAACTCGACTCCGATACCATAATGGAACATCATAATCGTTTCACGACGCAATCGGCGACGAGTCGCGCTCTTTATTCCCGGTCCCATAATCGTCTACTAATTATTCTTCGCGGCGCAAGTCCCACGAAAACTTGCACGATCATCGGACACTCTCGTCTCTTAATCAACCCCGGCGCCGAGAACAATGTTGCGTTAATTGTTTCACGCTCGCCGCCTATGTTTGCCGGGGCATTTCATGAATTACAATGATATTATTATCGTCATCGAGAGGGAGGGAGTCGAGGGGCAGACTCGTTTCATCAGCACCGACACAATGACCGATGGGAACCGATTTTCTCCTCCTCTCCTCCCTGATCATTGTGTTATCAACGACTCTGACAGTGAAATCGCGAATGATTCACATAATACGCTTTGCTCGAAGAGTTCGCGCATGAAACCGAACCACCTTTGGCTAAACGCTTTTCAATTGTAAAATAATTAGAGGTCTTGTTTGATCATTTGATGTTTTAACCATGTCAGATTCTCAACAGAGATTCGCCCGTTTCCGCTCAGTGGCTATGAAACAATTAAACCATTTGTTGGAGCAAAATCGATAATGACGCAGATTGCACTCCGTCGTGGAACATAAAATTTTAATGAATTCCTCGATAAAAAAAACCATGAATTATATCTCTGTATCTCGTTATTTCATAGTCTCCCTTCCTACAATTTCCTATTTGAGCCTGTTACCGAGCCGCGGATCGTGTTCATAAATATTTATTAAAAAATCGAAGATTCGTTAATAATAATTGCATGGCGGTTGAAAAATTCAGCGAAAATCAACGAAAGTCTGCCGTATGGTAAAAAATAAAAATAAAAGCGGTGGAACGAGTGGGACAAAAATTGCGGGAGAGTAATCCGAAGTAAAGTGCCATATATAAAATTAACAGATCGCGCTTTGTATGTAAATTTGATGTACGACGACGGAAGGTTGATATATTATATTTCCTATGCATATTCATGCATACACGCGAATTCGTGCGCGGCACGGAGAGTATTTGTTTCATGGGAACAACCGTATGGCTCCATTATTCTTCCTATTCCGCGAATTTATAAACGCCACCACCGAATATCTCTACCAGCGTGTTTTATTATCGCGCATAAACCACGCTCTCTGCCCCGTCGCAGTTTAGAGACTGTTTTAAAAAATTCGGCGAAGCCTTCGTATTGCCCACTAAAAAATGTCGACCGTTTTACGATTTCAAGAACTGAGAAATGGCATCCATACATACAAACGGATTGATGCCTCTGTTTATCAATTATGAACAAAACGTCCGTAATTGCGAATACCGCGGAAGGAATTTCGCGAGAGAAATTGCGGGACGTAGTAAAAATTCGGATAATGATTCGCCGTTAACGAACGAAAAAAAAATTCAAGCGACAAGACGTGATTTACTTCGATACACCGAGACTTTCTACCCGTACTTTCACGATTTTCTATTACCGCTCTTCGTCCCTGCCGTGGCGCGCGCGCTATGCGAAAATTGCGCAATTCGTACCGGCAGAGTTATGATAATTAACTTATCAGGATTCATTTGGTTTCGTTCCAATTAATTTCAGTCGTTCCATTTTAATAAACAATACACCGGGGTTCGCTTTTACGACGATGAATTTTTAAACGCAATTAAACATAATCCCGCGGTTATGGCAGCGGGTTCTCGTTAATTATTACGGAAGATATTTTATAATATTCTCCGCCGCGTTGATTTCATTTCTTTCCCATTGATCCGTCTCAATAATATCTAAGCTTGATTAAAGAAAAAAGCGAAAACACAAAGGGGATTAAAAATATTTCCATTATCCCGCAAAAAACGGAGCAAGCAAATTATACTTATCGAGGAAATAATTAGCGACTTAATTAAATGTTCCAAGGGTATTGACGTTCGACATAAATTAAAAGATTATTTCGTTTTATCACACGCGATATTGGCATGTACACCAAGCAAGGTTATACGTAAAAATAAACGAATATATCTCGAAATTCTAAAACTGTTTAATGAGACATGTAAAGTGTTAATTCCCATTGTGGTAAAAGTAAAAGTTGACTCACCTTTGCCAATCGAACCAACCGGTGCTCGTCAGGAAAAATGTATGGAGGATCGTCACAGGAGGCCGTGTAGTGTTGAGAATAAATTAATATATTTAAAATGAATATACGGTAGATACTGTCTCGCATCCCAGGTTTTATGGCATCTCATACTATCTTCTTCCACTCACTCATCCTTTCTCTCTCTCTCTCTCTCTCTCTCTCTCTCTCTCTCTCTCTCTCGCGTTCTTCTTTCCATTCCAAAATCTCCTTACACTTCCGTACGACGCGACAAAAAAAAACGAGGAGATTTCATCTCGTAATTCATCTTTGTACCGCACCTAAACTTCCTCCGTTCCCTTAGTTCACTATGTTTAGTAATATGTACACGCGTGCCAGGCGAAGGATTTCTATTGCTTTAAATAATATTTATTCGCGACGAACACTTGGATGGGGGCGTGGGAGGGGGTCCTCGGCTACCGATCGAACAATTAAATAAAATCCACGTCCATACTTCTTCGGAGCTATTTACATTAAATACACGCGCAGTCTTCTCTCGCACACAGCAGACACGGCGTCGTCCCTCCCCTCCGCGTGGAACGGGAAGAGGATCGTCTCCTTTATTGCACATTCTCGTCTCGATCTCCGCGTACACGTAAAATGAACGAAAACTCACTCACTCGATGATGCAGATATGTCGAAACTGATATAAGCTTTCCCTCGTTAGACAGATTCCGGGTTTCACGATCGTCGGTGCGATCTCGCGCACGCCCGATCGCTCGTACGAATCAGGAAAACTGAACTCAAGACTTTCCCGCTCCAGGAACTCCGACGGAATTCCAACTCGAACCGCGAAGGTACCCTAAAGCGTCTACCCCTGACGTTCCTCTCGTTGTTCTCGATTGATAATGTTCACCAGCTCTTCGTTGTCAAACACCGAAACTTCGTCTCCTCTTGATCCAGGAAACTCGACTTCTTGGCTCACTACGTGGTGGACGGCGAGGTGGGCACGGAGATCGGCGACGTGGGACCGCTCGACTCCCTTCCGTTCGAGAGGGTCGGCGTCGAGGCTCTGTACTCGCTGTGGATGCCGGGCGTGCTTGTTCTATTGTTACCCAGAAGACTGTCGATCGAGAACGGATTCAGCCTCTTCCTCTCCTCCCTACCCTTCACCGACAAGTCTATGCTACTGCTCTGCACCTCTTCGTCGCTCGTCTGCTCCCTGACCGGCGTTCTCCCCGAGCCGCCGCCGTTGCTCGCCGCGAGACGCGACCCCGCGCTGTTTATGCTCACCAGCTCCCTTCTTCTCTCCAACAGGCTTAGGCCCCAGTGATGGATCCCCTGTTGGTGATTCAAATGGTCCAGGCTGAGACTCGAGTTCGGACTCTGCAAGCTGCTCGGGACCTGATTCGATCTCCGAAGATCGCTCTGCTCGCTGCTACCGCCGGTCAACCTGGGGAAGCACTCCCCGTCGACAGAACCGTCGGCGGCCGAGCCGATCCTTTCGCTACCACTTTCGCTGCACGAATCCAAACCCCCCACGACGTCGATCTCCTCGTTCGCGTCGTTCCCTGACCCGGACACGCTGCTGCTCTCGTTGTTGTTGCTCAGGTGGCCGAAGCTGCTGCCGAGGTTCCCGTTCAGGGAGTTACCGCCGGACGCGGCTGCGTTCCGGGACTCCCACTCGGCGCGGAGCGTCGAGAGATCCACCGTGATTCCCTGGAACGAGAACATTGCGTTTTCCGGTTCTGACGTGTCTTCCGGTATCTGGATTTGAACATTGAACCGGCATTAGGAGCAGGATCCCAGCGAATTTACGTTCGATCGATGAATCGTTGTTCATCAATAGAATTTTACATGATTTCATTAAAAAAATTTTGACACACGTTTACTTTCCAATTTCGTTTCCCTCACAATTTTTATCAGAAAAATCGTAGACTATTCGTTACAATTAATTGGTAGGAGAAAGAGAGTAGGAAAAATGCGAAGAAACTCACCTTCGCTGCTAATTTCCTCTGCTGTCGTTCAAGAGCTTTCAGCAATTTCTTCTGCCGCCTCTCCCTCTCCTTCCTCCTCAGCTCCTCGGGCGGAATCGGCTCGCCGCTGCAACTCTGCGGATGAGCGTTGTGCGCCGGCCTTCCCGGGCCCTTCTTCGTGTGCTCCTTCTTCCTCCATTTCGCTCTTCTGTTCTGGAACCACACCTGAAACCAGACGTATCCCGGGTCCCTCTCAATCAATCTCCCGAAAACCTATCGGAATCCTTCGTCGAGAAAAATTCAAAACAGTATCTCTCCAATAAAAGAAATCTGCTTTTGAAATTGAATATCACGTCCGACACGAGATCTCTATTAAGATAGTTTTATTTTTAATTGAAAATGCAAGGAGGAATCGCATTGTTTTATGCGCTTTATCCAGTTATCTCGAGTAATTAAAAGCACGTCCGAGCATGGAGCGGTCGCAGTGGTTAAATATCGAAATTACACGAAGGAGTAACACCAACGACCCCCCGGGGTGTCTTGATTCATTGCGAGTTTCAACCCTTCGGCTCGCGTGAACGGTCACGCCGCGGTGTAAAGCACGATTTAGTACTCGGCGTGAATTCCGCGGCCGCGATGGGAAGGAAAGAAATGCACGTAAAGGGGTTTGTTGCTCGAGAAAGGTGGCCGGGATGAAGACATTAGTTGCGGCCACGGGCTGGTACGCGGCGCTGTTCTCACACGAGCCACAGATCAATACACCCCCGCCGACCCCTTTTGACACCCTCACGTGCCCTCTCGCTGGCACGAGGTTCCTTCGTTCCTTCCTTCCCTTCGGTTCACTGGGAACGAGATTGAATCGGAGAAGAGATCACGGCGAACCGCAGTTTCTCAACGGAACTTCCCTCAGTATCAAAGTTTCCCGGAAATAAAATGTATCAGGTTCCGAGATTGGAGCGGATCTTTTAAAAAAAATCATAGCAGTTTGTATACGATTTATAATAAACTTATTTTTTTGTTAAATAACAAATCAAGGGACGCGGCAGCGTCCCGAAGGCAAGTTAAAACAAGTTTTATTTAAAAATTGAATATTCAATACTGTTTATACTTTCGAGTCAGGCGTGACCACGTGAGACCACGTGAGAAGTGAGCTAGTGGCGAGCAACTCAAAACGATTCCCGACCCACTTTGTACACACATGTATATATTTGTATATACATATATGTACTTATATATATACTTATGTTATGTATATACTTATATAGATACATGTGTATACATATACATAATATGTCACATACATAAGTGGAGAACTCGACAAACTACATTTTCAGTTCGCTTTGTAGGTGAGCTTCTTTTTTTGTCTTTTGCCACGCTTATTACGTGAGCGTGCACAGCACTGGCTTAATCTGATCGGCAGCAGGAATTCCGAAACACAATAGTACTTTATGCACCAAGGGTGGAAAATGGGTCTTTTCGATGGAGGTTGATGTTTGAGCACCAGTGGTAGTCGAGCGCGTCACAGGCGCCCGAGACGAACACGAGCCGTTCAGAACATCAGACTAAGTCAATGTTGTGCACGCATATGTAATAAGCGTGGCAAAAGACTAAAAAAAAAAAACAAAAGCTCATCTACAAAGCGGACTGAAAATGTAGTTAGACATATACAGCATATATGTACATTGATATGTATAGCATATGTTCGTCAGAGGGTTAGAAATGAAATTGCATTTTACCGCCCTAGGGCGTAAGCTCGATTTGACCGCCACAGGGCGGGAAAACTCTATTTTCGATCCATCCAATGGTGTTTTTCGGCCTCGTGTTATAAAAATTCCATTTTTTTTTCATGTGTCGATGTCAAGTGCGTTAACAAGTGCGTTAAGAATTGAATACATTTTGACATACGGGTAACGAGGAATGCGGAACGAAGTTCGAATTCCCGTGGTGGCACAAACAAAGTAGGTCGGGAATCGTTTTGAGTTGCTCGCCACTAGCTCACTTCGCACGTGGTCTCACGTGGTCACGTCTGACTCGAAAGTATAAACAGTATTAAATATTAAAAGTAAGCGCTCCATTCTATCATACAATATAAAGCTACACAATCCGAAAGGTGATGTGTTAATTAATAAAAGTATGTTGCGATAGACTAAAACAATTTCTTTTTAACATTCAATTTCAAAATACAATTATATTGGTAATTATTTATCAAGACATGTCAAAAATAAGAGTATATTTTGCGACAGAGTAAGGGTTCTCTATTTAGCTACTTTTGCTCTATTGTGCTGCAAGTTTACATTGATTTCATGATTTACTAGGTTTATGTGCAATGTGTGCTTCCCCTTCCACCACTATTTTTCATATAGTAGCAGTAGCGGGACGTACAGTGAGGATTATTGTTGAAGATCACGCATTTTTATAGGCGTTGATGTAGAATCGGACAATACGTATTCGGTAGTAGAGGGGAAAGCGTAGAAATCACATATAGGAGAACGCTGATACGTCGTTGGTCAACAGCAATTGGCTCCCCATATATGTATTTAAATAATAAACTTATGAGCGAAACTTGACAACTGTTACTACGATTTCATTACTTTCTAGTTCTCAATTTGACAAAAATATAATTGTTTTATTTAAATTTAGTTGAATATTGTTTATAATTATGATGATAATAAGTAAATGGGGAACTTGACGTCTTTCGTTGATTTCACAACTTTCAGGTGCTTCTTTTCACAAGGCTATAATATTTATTATATTATTGCTACTTAAAATTATGAACGAAAGCAATGTAAGAAGGATTTCGTTGGAATAGGAACCAGACATTTCAAACTTGCCCATTTCTTTACCGTTTCATGAAA